TTTTTTTCTTTTTAGGCTCACCCTGTGGATTCTGTGAATACAGTTAATCGTGAAAACGGTAATCAAGATTGGCAGAGAAACGGTTATAGCAATGGAGGAGCACCATTTAAAGTAAATTTATCGGTTTTTCTCTATTTACTTTTTTAAGCGGTGAATAAGAAGCTTTTTGATTTTGAGCATCTATATTGAATTAGTAGATTTTTTATGTGGTTTTCCTTTGACTCACTGATCGTTGACAGACACTTATTTTCCCTAGGTTATTCGGTTAGAACCTGTGACACTTGTCAATTCCCGACAAACTTTGGAAGGTGATGATGTAGAACGGGGTGATTCGTTGCCAATTAAAACAGAAGACAACGTCATCTGCAGGGAGGTTGATAGCCCGACCAATTCAAATTCAAATCATGAACCGGAGCAAGTGTTCCTTGTTCCTACGACTACTGCTTCATCTGGGGAGTCAGAAACAGTTAGTTCTTTTTTTTATTTCTTTATATCTTTCCTTATTCAAAGTACTTTGTTATTATTAATTTAATAATTTTTGTGATAAAAACATTTAGGCGTATTCTGGTCAGGGAACTTCAACAGCGTCTGGAGCAGGTTTTGAGCGTAAGGATAGTGTCAAAGAGAGCAGGGAGAACATGTCCAGTACTTCGACTTAACTATTTAAACAGTTAAAGGAGCGTGAAAAGTAATCGAGTACTGTGTAATATTTCTTAAGCCATTCCTTTTTTCCGTAATGAAACTGATTTGATTTTTTGACACCGAAGAGCAGAGGGTGGTTTATTTCACAGCTTTTTCCTCAACAGTTTAGAAAATAAGAAAAGGAGTAAAAAGGCATATTTAGTTTTCTCTTTGCAATTTCCCTTTTCTCCAGATGTAGAGCTGATTTGGAGTTATTTTCCTCTGCGTAGTCGGTTTCAAATTTCTTTCAAAAGAAGTTTATTTTGCCAATTGATATTAACTGTTTTGTCTGTTAAATGGATAGACCAAACTTTCAAGGACTTGCCGAAGATTAGTCAGTTTGTGTACTGTTAGCTATATGATTTGTTGCTTCGTTTCTATGTTAGAGCCATTCTTTCTAGGGTTTTTGATACTGTTTCTTGTGTATCGAGTTGTGCCGTTTACCTCCGAAGACTTAGTTTTCAAAGGTAAAATGAATGGCTTCTTAAACCGCTGTCCAGTGTACTTGTACGAGTTTTCAAATAATCAGTTTCTTTCCCCTTCTTCCCGTTACCTTACCTAATTTATTTATTTGATATTTTCAATGCTGGTAACTCAGTTTTACTTTACAAGTGGTTGTTAACATTTTTTTAAGTGTAAGTTATCTGAATCATTCTGTAGTAAAGTAAATTGGGAAGAAGTTGAGATGCACTTTTTGATGTAGTTATTGCCAGAAGTTGTTTATTGGTATGCAAGTTGCTATTTTTGTAATCTTTTTTGGTTAATTTTTACTTTTTTTTCGATTCTCAGGCTTTATTCTTTTAGTCCCAATTCCTCAAATACCTTGCTGTTGCTTTTTTTTTGTTTTGTTTTACTTGGTACTGAAATTTGCTAATTTTGATAGTTACTGTCTATCCTACGAACTCGATTGCAGTTGCGTAATTAATTCATTTATTAACATACACCGCTGATACTTGTGAGTTTATGATTTAGTTCCTTTGATGAGATTGTATTATGCTCTGAAGCTTAAATCCCGAGATCGTTTTGCAAGGTTTTTGAAGCTTTAGGCTTCGAGATTCTGCATTGTAAGACTCGCTGTAGCTGCGCGCTAATTAATGATGCCACTGTTTACTGGATTAGTTTTTTCTCTTGCCTTTAACCGGTGTCTTATTAACTTTTATATTTTTTCTTTTGGCATTTCATTTTCCTTCTTTTGGACTTTACGGATTTGGGACTCATTCTGTTGTGAAAGACGGTACTGCTTTAATAGGTTTTTACGTTGCCGTGGATTGCTTGTGGAAGTGAAAAACTCAAGGAACTCAGCGGATTAAGGTTGTAAATTTTTTACTGAACTTATGAGCTTTGAGGTTTTAATGAGGTCTGTCTTTTTTAGCACATCGAAGTATCTCCACACAAATTAGTGAAATACCTTGTTTCAAGCTCGGGCAGATTTTCTTAATTTTGAGGCTGGAAATTTTTTAGCATACGGTTTTGTTTTGTTTTTCTTTTTTGATGTTAATTGATGGTCGTATCATAATTCTATAGTTTGTACAATTAGTCGTCTGTTGACGGATATGATATTTGTCGTCTTTTGCTTGGAAACCATTTTGCTTTATTTTTATTTTATTTTTATTTTTTGACCTTTTAATTAAGGCAGCTTTTTATGTTCATTTCTTTCATAAATCCTGTGATTGTAATATTCTTCGTCTTGTTCTTTGATCTTTTTTAAATAAAGCGTATGGCGCATTGTAGTTGTTAGTAGTTATTGTAATGCCCCGATTGTATTTTTAGTTCTGAAATTTCGGTTGCTCCTTCGCGTAATATAGTTCTTCCCGTTGTCATTATTTGGAGCAATGAAGGTCTTCGTTGTGCAAGTTTAACTTTACACAAGGAAGGTTTTGTCACCGCTGTACAGGACATTTGGATATTTAAACCCTCCAAAAACTGAT